GTGTATAGACACAGAACAAATAAATTTCTGCTTAAGAAATCAGCAAAGGAAAATGTCATAATTCTAAAAGAACTGGAAGTATTGAGTTATGATTTTGTCTGCAAAATTTCTAGTTATTTCATGTTTTTCAAACTTCTCAAAATGTGATACCTGGTTTTGGCTTAAACATGCAAGAGTATAAAAATGTCAAAAATTCTCAAAAGTTATACTGGAAAAAAGTTTTCTGTTTGGAGAGGATATTAAGAGGGAAATACTTGTAGTTATTGCACAATTTCTGTGGGCCTCAGAAGAGCAAGGTGGGCAATCTCAGTATAGCAATTGGCCTCTATGCCTAAGAAATTACTGACCATTTTTTGACGTGTCTTTGAGTACATGTGGTGTGATTTACCTGACTATGGTAATCCAGCTATGATCACCAAACCCCAGTAGTTCAGAAAGGTTCTTTTCACCTGTACACTGGTGTACCTAGTCCTGTTCTTCTGCAGCATAAACAAGAAAAAAATATCAGTTTGCAGTGGAAAAGCTATAGCAGAACCACAGGCAGAGTTACAATCAACCGTATGTATTGCTTAAGCTCAAAATTAATCTTCTCTTTTGCTATTTTTAATGAATATTCAGAATCATGTCTGTCTGTTTCTGTTCCCAGTGTATGGTTGGCCTAGGCCTGAGACCAAGTCCCTCATTCTCCGACATCTCAGATGAGGTGATAGGGCATTCCTCTCAGCCAGGAAGGGGTGAGCAGCCAGTTCTTAGGAAGTGGTATTGTTCTTTGCTACACATCAGCCAAATCCATTTTCTGATTCAATTAATGCCTCCCTGTGTTCCGATGCCAAGTCAAATCAGGTTGTGTCCATCATTGTGGAAGGGAAGAAAAGTACTTCCCACCAGGAATTCAGTTGCTGGCACCAGCTGGAGGTGGTGCTGTTAGTTGCTGCTTTCTAATTGAAAATGCCTGGATATTTAGTTGAAAATGCCTGGATATTTGACTGAAAACAGAAATAAAGAGAAAATCTCATCTTCTTGGCTGTCTGTCAAAGTTGGCATGTTAAAATCAGAGTTAATAAACTCTCTGCAGTTGCTGAAGTTTCTTGCAATTGAAAATCAATAGATTACCATGACAGAGTGCCTCCACCACTCTGGTGATTCAGTCTTAGCAACAAGTTCAGGTTCAGATATAATAGTGTAAACCTTGCTACAGTGATCTGCACACTGGTGGCATAGAGCTATAGGGTATTAGAACAGAGTAATAAAAAACAGTATTAAGATGAATTAGCACTTTAACAGATTTCAGTCTACTGTACTTGCGCTCACTGTAGTCTGTGACAATACTCCTAGGAGGCACTGGGTGGGCCTTTTCTTCCAAAATCTGACTAGTGCTTTGAAGAAACTCTACATTACTTTGATTCTTAAATTAGAATTAAGTGCTTACTCAAAACAGACTCTGTTAATTTTCTGTGCTTATTCACATGCTGGTGGCAGAATAAAATCTCTAGTTTAGGACTAATTTAAAAGGGGTTACCCCAACAATCTCACCTCTCCAAGTCTATGCTCAGAAAAAAAGTATGATGACTAAGACCTAAGGTAAATTTTTATGGTAGCTTTTCATTATAAATATGTTTTCTGAAAACTTGATTTTCAATAACTAAAGGGGATTATAAGGGTTTTTCCATTATTTAGAGAGAGGCTTTTTTCCTGTCTTGGCACCTTATGCAGTAGAGATGTCAGAGTTGCTAGTAAACTAAAACATTCTCATTCTAGCATGCTCTAACTTTCTATACACGATTTCTGTTCCTACCAGTAACAAAAACTAGATCAAACTGTGAAACATGACTTGTTCAGACTTCACCTTTTCTGCTCATTCTGAAGGGTGCTTTTAAGTAACTTTCATTGAGAAAACAGAGACTGAGGTATGGAAACACAGGTATGGAAAACATGTTCATTTGATGTGGAGCTAAGTGTGACCAAAGTTCTGGAGCAGGGTCAGGAGTTTTGGAATTAATTTCTGATGCTGAACTGAGCTGTGATTTCCTCATGTTGAAGGAGCTTGCAGTTCAGCTATTCAGCATCAGCCCACAGAGATGATAATGGACAATTTAGTCCAGAAACAGACTGTAATACCATGCTGACCAGTTTTCTTTTGGCTAGTCCTCTAATTGATGTTTGGCAGTGAATGCTAAATAAAATACATATAAAAATACATATATGTTAAATACATGTAAAATACATGTATGTAACTACATATATAAAAATAACATATACAGAAACCAGAATACTTTCAGATTATTATGTACGCTTGCTTTAATTTGGCAGGAGTAGACACAATTTATACGGATGCACATTAGAACATGTTGTGGAATAAGCCAGTAGGCATTTGAAATCTAAAACAAGGGTTGTGCTGGTTTACCCACATCCAGTCTTTGAAATGGAATAATCCTCATAATGCAAACAGAATTTCACAGTGATGGATTGGTGTGCATAAAGTTAATCCGAGTTTAATATAATAAGTTTTGCTTTCTGTTTTTTATTAAGCTCTCTCATGACAATGAACTGAAAAGTAAAGTTATCTGCATAAAGCCAGTGGCAATTATTAGATGTTTACATACTTTTATCATCACAGTTATATATGTAAGTCAAATACATTCAAATGCAAGAGTGAGTAATTATGATCATTGAATATATAAAGGAAGTTACACTGTGAAGCAAAACAACCAGTTGAGTGCACAGAAAAATACAGAGCTGCACTCTGTAAATGAGTGCAAATGGACGACAAAGGATTAAAACTGAGACAGCAGGGTGGTGAAGGGAAGCGAGCAAAGCTGAAATTTGGTGAGCTTTCATTTCTGTAGTGGTTGGCTCTGCTTTTTGCTTCCTATTTGTCTCTGGGCATCTCTTTTCATCTTTGTTATTTTATAGAGAAACAAACCACAATGAAAGAATTTACCAAGCCTGCCAACAGCCATCCAATTTAATGTCTATAAAGTGCTGCAGACATGTAAAGTACTTTTCATGTTAGCATCTGTTTTGTGAGCAGAGATTTTGGGTACTGTTATTGAACAAGTCTTTAGTTACAGAAGAAGGAATCAGTAACAATTGTAGGAAACTATTAAAGATGCTACTGATATCTTCTGTTGCCTAGAAACCAGCATTCAAAATTATAAGTGTTCAAGTGAGAAATAGTTGTGTTTGGATTTTTTTGCAGTCCAGTGGTAGAAATTCAGATCTGAGTGGACACATTTTGAAAATGATTAGTAGTCATAATAAATCATCACAGAATATTAAGTATGTAAGGGTGAGATAGCTAACAGAGTGAAGGTTTAAATTAGAGCTGTGAAAATTAGACGAGTGATGACAAATGTGTGTTATTGCTTGTCTTTATAGTGCAAAATCCTCTTAAACTGAGAGAAGGAACAAGGAAATTTTACCAGATTAAGGTATGAAGAAGGACTGCAAATTTAAGCCTCCTATACACACAACCTTGGAAATAGATCTTAACAGGAGATTTCTTTTGCTAATAAGCTTATTCACTTAGAGAATATAAACTGAAAGATAGTGATAATTAATCATCAGTCAATATAAATAGAATTGGGTTCTTCTTTGGAATTATTTTCTGTGCATTTTTTAAGAGTCTGCCATCTTCTATGTTTATCATTAGTGTATCAAAGATCTCTAATATACAGTCATGGTATTAGCAAGAGGAATTAACTTCATGTTGACCTTCTTGGGATATTTTCTGGACATATTGCTAGCTCAGAGTTTATATGGATAGGTTTTTTCCTATGGATTGGCATTCAGTTTTATTTCTTGTGACAGCTTTCTTCTTCATTAGTGCAGGCAAGGCTTGTGTCAACAGTCAACCTGACATGTGTATTCTACAGTAAGTAATAGTCACTTAGCAGAAAAAAATATGTATTATCATTACAAAGTACCATAGAAGATAATATGAAGAAACATTTCCCAGGAAGTCAGTGTGATCTTAACAGAGGGGGCAGCTGTAATGAGCAATTGATGGAGCATGATATGAAACCCGAGGGCAACAAGTCATCTTGATTATCTGACTGTCATCTGAGAGCTCTGATGGAACAAACAGGGGAAGTGGCAGAGATCTACTAAGCTGGAGTGTGACATCCCCACTACCTCTGAAGACCATGGCAAAAGTGCCCTTGAATTTAAAGGAGAAAAAAAGCCCATACAGAATGCCTAGACTTGAAAGCTGCCATTATTATGCTGCTGAACTTTAAAAACTGGCCTTTATCAGAAAAGTTCCTGTGTCTTTTGAGGATTCAGTATTTTGCCTACTCTCAGTCTTGGAAACTGCATAGGTTCTGCACAGGAACTGCACAGGATAATCCTCATCTAGTTGATTGTCCTTGAATTTTGTTTTAAAATCTGCCCTATCTTAAGGTTTTTAGTTTTGGGAAGAAACATAGACAAAGCCACGAAACCAGTCACAATTTTGTGCATTATTTTAATGCAGTTATCTGACCTGCTTAGAAATCAAAAATCTGAGTACTTTTCTTCTCTCCAGAATCATTGTCAATTTTCTTTTGCAGCATTAGATAAAAAGTTCAAATTTGGGTTCACTCATTCATTACTTCTTCACATTATTTTTACCTGCATACCTACACTGATTTTTTCATGTGGCTACTGAGAAATATATGTGGATGGGGATTATTTTGCAAGCTTTATCTCCGTCCTCTAACAATGGCTGATGAGGCATTTATGAGATTTGGCAGTAAAGGTTTGTAGGCACATCCTGTTGTTTGACCATCTGCTGAACATGTGCAGGTTCCGATTAAAATAGTTGTTTTTACAAGTTCGTGAAACTCATGCTTTAAGGGGAAAAAAAATAAAAACCAAAACTTTAATTTGTCATTTATGTGAAAAAGGGTTGTTTTTTTTGGACTCACAGGGTCTACAAATAAATGTGTTTGACTGAATAAATGACTGGGTGAAATAAATCAGTTTGTCTCATTTCTAATTTTGTATTCCTAAAATCGAATCCTTCAGAGGCTAAAGGGCCTTATCAGAACAGTAACAGAGAACTTTCCTTTCTGCTGTGCTTATTCTTTGCATGTTTCCAGGATTATGGTATCCTCACTGTTCCATGGTACTAAATATAGAAAAGAGGAAATACTGGACTAGTAATTATTTCTTTTTTTTTTTCCCATTTTCCATTAACAGAAACTTTCTGTCTTATTCTTAGTTGTCAACTCAGATGATGGTCCCAGAGCTCTTACATTGGAGGATTATTTGAGTGGAAACTTCCAATATAAAACATTTTTTCCATATTGGGTGTCAGGTAAGCAAAATCTTTTCTCAAACATAGATAAGACTTTCTAATATATATTTCCAGACTGGTTTACACAGACTGAGAAATGTATTTTTCCTCCAGCTTTACTGTGAATGAATCCTAACTATGAAATTAAACCATGTGCTAGTCAAAACTTATGTTTGAAATTTACTATTCTGTCAGTCATTCTAGAAAATCCAGGTATTCGATGTTTCAACAGACATGTTTGAGTCAAGTATAAACTATAATTTTACAGAGGCCTTAAATGTTTTATTTCTTTTGCTGTCATGTTCATTGCAGCAAGTGAAAGAAATGTGTCAATGTGTCAGTCATTCCTTAAACAATCTCCTTTTTATGTTTTTCACAGCATTTTTTCACTTACCATTTGTAATGATTGAGGTATTCTGTCTTACAGGCCCTGTTCCTTGTTTTCAGTAGTACCTGGCTCTGCAATGAGCCCAACTGTTCTTATCTCATTTAAGGAATGAGATACACTCACTGCTGAAATTCCTGAGTTCCAGGGCATTGCATTGAAAACAAAGCTGAGTTTCTAAGTTCCTTAAGGTAGAGGGCAAAGACATGAAGTTAATTGCTGCTGATAAATGTGACTGTGTGTGGCTGAAATACTGGTTTTGTTATCATTGAATTGCAGCAGCATGGAAAGGCTGGAGCTGGACTGGTTTGCCTTCAAGCACACACATCACTGCCACTCCTATCGATGAGCTGCCTCAAGCAGTTACTGTTCTCTGCCTAGAGCAAGAAATGTAGTGCCCATTCACTTGGATTCTTACCAAGCTGGTTTTATCCCACAATTTTAGAACTGAAGTGAAACCTTATAGGACATTGCTAGCAGCAGTTAAAATTTTACAATTAACAATTTGAAGTATGTTGATATGACTTGTATGATTTAAAAATTAGGTCACAATTTGTTAGAATTATGTCTGAATGTTTGAAGGATGTAGGCTGCCTATCACTTAAACCTAATATTCTTCTTCCCTCTTTATAGCTTTCTCACTTAGACTTAGCTTTCAACAGTCACAAAGCTCACACAAAAGTCATGCCATAGATTCCATAGATAGTCATGCCTACAGCATTCCATATGTCTACTTCTCTTCTGAAACAAGGAGTTAAAATTGAATATTTCATCCTAAGGGTGTCTGAGATCAGCACAAATGCTATTACATGAATCACAGAAGTGTGCTCAAAAGATCCAAGGGTGATCTAATTTTTTAAAAATGAGCACCTCACACAAGGTTTCAAGCTGCTTTTAAACTGTTAGTCTTGCTCTTTAACTACACAAAGTATGTAATTCCTTCTCTCTGTTTATAGAAGTGAAAATAGCAATCCGAAACTAAAATTCTGATCTTTATTCTCTACCAACCTATGGCTCAGGTCTTGAGCACAGGTCGGGTTAAATTCCATTCTCGTCAAGGCCACTGACCCTCAACCCTCACTTTGTAGAACTTGGGTGAGTAAGTAAGGGCAGTGTCACTTATGCAATGTCAGTTACATGGTACTGGTGTTGTCTGTGGAATATACAAATGAGAATGTTCTGGTAAAATGATAAGGAAAGACATTGAACATTTTCTTTAAAACATTTACATTTTGTTACTGACCTTCTAATGGGTCTGTCGCTGGCATTCTTGATCAGACATTGCTGAGAATAAAATCTGGAATTCACTTAAAAAGTTAAGTAGCTGATCCTGCATGCAGAGTATAATCTAGAGAAGGTAGTCAAGAACCTTGAAGACAGTTTCTTGATAACTCTGTATTTGGCCTTATTAAAAGAAAAACATTTTCTATCTAGATGCCAAAAGATATTTGCTCAAAATCTATTCATTAAAAGGAGTGTGAACACATTGATAAACAACTTTGTTCTGTAGTAACTTCTGTGAAGGTAACAAACATTTTGTCTTGTTTATAAAGATAATGAGTATCTACATCAGTCTGCAGAAGATGATATTATTCTTTACAATGTTGAAAGGAATTATGCAACTACCATCATGACTAACAGAACAATGGTATGTATCTTTTTAATTAATAAAAAAGCAGAAAAGTGGAGTTGCATTTCAAGTACCAGTTTAAAAGTGAATGAGACTAGAACCTAATCTACTTCTCAATCTTTCAGAAACAAGTTAATGCTTCAAATTATGTTATGTCATCAGACCAATATTTCATAGCTCTGGAAAGCAATTATTCAAAGGTAATAATTTTAATATATCTCTTAATGAAATATTTCATTTCATGAAGTATTTTTTTGGTTGTGATTACCATAGATAAATGTTTTTTGGTACTTTCTTGAGATGGGGATAGGCTGTGAGAAGGCAGCTGATTATTTGTAATTAGATTATCTTTTTCCAAGCTAATAGTGTTTTCTTGCTTAATTTATGCAGCTGTGGAGATACTCTTATACGGCATCATACCACATTTATGATCTCATATATGGGTAAGGCCTGATATTTCTTACAGAGGGCTATGGTGAATACACTGTAGTGTATTGTGCTTGCAAGCTGGAAAACTGTAGTAAAGTGACTACCACCCTGCTTTGCTTTTTGCCTGACTCTATCAGGTTACTTATTCACTTAAAAAAAACGTTCCCTAAGAAAATCATGCATTCTTTTCATTTACTCATCCGGGTATCTGGATTGATTTATATTCCATGCCGTAAAACTTTCACTGCTCAAGACTCTAATTTTTTTTTCTTCTTGGCATAATTTTTGCCCACCCTATCTTGGCTGCTTGAGTCCATTTCAGTTTCATACCTGATGTCTCCATGCCCTTCTGCTAATTCATTCTTTTTATCATTGATCCAGTGTTTAACTTTCCTAAAATATTCACATGTCCCTTAGGGCTCCAGTGATCTTGTGACAGTTCATCCTGCATTCCTCAAAAGTTTACAGCTTCTTTTTTTTCCTCTTTCCCAAGACCTTCCCCAAACCACTCCTCTTTCCACCCAAATCCAAAGGAGGTCATGTGCTCATCTGCCCTGGTCACCTTTTTATGCCATAAGTAGCAGCGTGACCAAATGCTTCTTAGTTCTGAGCAACAGGGGCTGCCCTGAGCTGCACCATTCTTAGGAAACTTGGCTCAAGGTGACAGGAAAAGGTTGCTTCAGGCTAATGTGAGTGGAGAGGTACTGCATGTGGGTTGTGATCCTTAACAAATGCTGTAAATGCTGTTGTCATGCTTGGCTCAGCATGCTGTATCCTGAGCTCACGTTTCCCAATAACTTGCTGAGACTGTAATGCAGACTGTAGGTGGAGCAAATGACTCCTTCAAATGTGCAGCATTTGAAAAGAGATAAGCCTGGCTTCTTAGGCTGTTGAATAAGTTTTCAAAGGGTTAAGTTTAAGCCTTTGCCAGAATTCGTGAACACTATCATGTTCCTGCATGTCTCTGCCTGCCTTAATTGTGCATTGCTTGAGAAACAATAAGCAGTTAGAAAATAAAGCCATTCATGATTTTTTTATTAATGTACAGTATAATGATCCATTTGCACTGTGCACAAAAAGCCATCTCAATTTCTTTCCTTTTTTTAGTGGTTTTGTAACAGAAAATCAGCTTCCACATAAAATTCAGTATATATCCTGGTCACCCGTTGGACACAAATTGGTTAGTAAAGATAATTGTTAGAATGAATTTGCTTTGTGTGGTTAGAAGACATTTGTCTGCCTTCGGTTTTTATTTTGTTAGGCCATATTTTTGACAGGCTCGTGTTTATTAATCTTGGTTGTGAACAAGAATGACAAAGAAAAGTTTTAACTTGTTAAAATTTAACATGTCTGTGTCTCAATAGAAGATAATCCATGCTCTCAGCTATGTTATGTGTTTCAGTTTGCTCACTGGTCTCTTACGAAGAATTGACCAAAATAATTGTATATAGGATTAAATGCAGTTTCAAGGTCTGAAAACTGATAGATTTTCCTTTGACACTATATAACACATGAATTTATTATGGAGCTTTAGACATGCAGTATTTAAAATCTGTTCTAAAATTTTTAGTCTAGGAAATGGCTGCCAGATTCTTATTACAACAATGTTGCTTTCTCTTTTTTTTTAATAGCTCCTTGAATGCCAAGTGTATATTTCTCATTAATTGTAATAGAACTATCTCATAACAAGTTTATAAACTTTTTTTATTCTTGATTCGAAAGCATCAGCCCAATAATAGTGGTTTTTTAAGCTGCTTATCCACTATTGACAAAATATATATGCAAGAGAAAAGATTTCAAACATTTCATAAAATACCCAAGGCTAAATATTTAGCCCAGGGGGATAAAAATGAATGGAAAACTTACTAGGATTTTTTCCATGTTCTACCAGAGTATTAGTTCTCTCACATTAAATATTGTTATTTTCTTTATCAAGAATTCTGAAGACAGAACACAGTGAAGATAGTTTCCTATCTTTCTAGTAATAATAGTCTATGATGTTTTTATAAAATAGTCTGGAATTGTTCAAGGCCAGGCTGGGTGGGGCCTTGAGAAACCCGGCACAGTGGAAGGTATCCCTGCCCATGGAAGGGAGGTTGGACCTAGATGATCTTTAAGGTTCCTTCTAACCCAAACCGTTCTATGATTCCTTTTATTGTATCTGAGAGTTTCAGGGGTTGCTTTGTTTTTCATTGGGAGCACAAAGTAGTTAAAATGTTATGGTGATGTTGCTAACAAGTGCTTACAGCTTAAAAAGGCAGGATTTTCTGAGGCTGATGCTTCTGGTGCCGGTTTCTTAACCCCATGTCAATTCATTTGACTGAAATTTAGAGATATCCAAGACCTGCATTTAGAGATATCCAAGATAAGCATTCCTTACAAGAACTCTCTTTGGGCAACCAATTTACTAGAAAAGAACAAACGAGCCCAGACAGAGTAAAGCCTTTTTTTGTCTCTTCTCACTTCACATAGGCCTTTTGTCAGATTTAGAAAAGTCCAATTATTTTCTTTTCAGTCACTTTGTATTTGTTTTTAACTTCTACTTTTGGTGGAACAAGAAGAAAAAGTCACAAAACAGTTTGAGGGTCTCTTAAAAAACAGCAATTTGAATGAGTTGCAAAGGTTCTAATTTTTTTTCATGATTTTCCACACACAATGTATAATTTATTTGCTGACCTACCCTTGAGAAATTTGCAAGGGCCATTAGTGTAGCATTTATTTCCCTTTCTGTATTCATTAGGTTGTCCTTGTGTAATGTAAGAGCATTGACTGCAGAAGATTGGAATTTAACCCCTGTAATTGACTACACTCATAAGAAATACTTTCTCTTCTTTAGGTGTATGTATATCAGAATGATATCTATTTGAAACAAAGTCCAAGAGAGGCACCAATTAAAATAACTAGTGATGGAAAACAGAATGAAATATTTAATGGGATTCCTGATTGGGTCTATGAAGGTAAGTAGATCTTCAAGGGCAACAACTAACATGATAAATGCTTTCTTTAGATTACTCGGTTCTCACAATCCATTCCAAAATATCTGTGATGATACTTTTTTAGAGCCCTAGGTTACTCCATTTCCTTATTGTATTTGCTGTACAATGGCTGAATTTTGTATTCATAATGTGTAATTAAACTACTGAGTCTTTGTTACTGAAACTGTGTCAGAACTGTACAAATTTGGCTTCCTGCTGATGCACAGGCAGTGGCTGGGAATTAAGCTTTAATGGGAGTTTTAATTTTGGTGGAAATTTGGCGCTTCAGTGAATCCAAAAAAGTTAAAAAAAAATAAATAAATAAAAACAACAAAAAAATGAAGACATGGACACAAGAAAACCCCAAGTGGGTTAAATAGGATCTGTATGCCTGTTTTGAGAGTTCTTAAGGCCTCTAAGAATTGAGATGTATTGCAGTATGTTTGATGTTATTTATTTATTGTAACTGTCTTTACATGTCTAGGTTGCTGAGTAGAATGCTAAAATAGATTAGAAGATAGATTACAATGATAAACTATTATTTTATTTGTTTTTCCTCAGAGGAAATGCTAGCAACAAAATATGCACTGTGGTGGTCTCCAAGTGGAAAATATTTAGCATATGTACAATTTAATGATTCTGGCATACCAGTTATTGAATATTCATATTTTGGTGAGGACCAATATCCTAGAAAAATAATTATCCCATACCCAAAGGTATGTTTTATCATTCTTTTGACTTCCTTTCTGTTGAGAAATAAGTTATGAAAATGATAAAATTAACTGTACTTAAGAAATTATTGTATTACAGTAGTTAAATCCATTGTGACTTAAATGAAACAAAACAAACTTGGGCCAAATTCTGAAAAGCTGTACGTACATTCAAAACTGTAAATATAATATCAGTGAAATAAATGGAATTACTCATGCAAGTAAAAAGCCTGTGCAAAAGTGCATGCTTGCATGGTCAAGCCTTGTTTTTTTCAATTCAGTTTATTTATTGTGATGTGCTAAGTATGCAGTTGTTATTTTTCATTACAGTAAATAAATTATGAGATTTTTTATTTTTAAAAATAAAGGCTGTGACAGCTTCAGTTTATTTGCATACTTCATAGGGCTTTTTGATCTCAAGGGCCTTTGGATTTTAATTGCCTTCTAGTGCCAGATCTAAGGCAAGACAGTTTTGGGTTGGCATTTCTTCAGCATGTGTTAGAGAGCTCTGCTGACTCTTGTCATGTTCATATGATTGGAAGGGATCATCTTAATGTATCTTAAGAAGTTGCTCACCTGTCAGCTGGGTGGGTTACAGCTCTAAGGTAAAACTGGATGGTTTAGACCACACATGGAGGAGAATTGAAACACTAATAATGTATGCAAAGAATAACCAACCATGAAATCAGTTTAAGCAACCATTTAACAGCTGGGATCAAACAGCACTTGCAATCATGTGAATGTACTCCTGGAGTTTTATGCCAAAGTAAGTGTAGTGTGTGCTGCAAAGATCCACACTGCAAACAGAACACTGGTTCCCATCAAGCACGTTTTCCATGTAGAAAGGCACTAAATTTGACTGTTTAAAAGGTTTTCTTCTTTATATATTAAATGATGCAAAAATAAGTAATGTACTACTGCTGTAGTGTCACTCTGAGATCTTATAGGACCACATTTGCCCTGTTATACTCAACTGAATACGTATTTTGTAACATATCTACTTTCTTGCAAAAAGTGTTGTAATTTTCCTCGATCTGAATTGTTTGGAGCCTGGTTTGAATAACCTGATACATTTTCTTTGAAGGCTGGGGCTAAAAATCCTACTGTTAAAGTGTTTATTGTAGACACTACTTACCCTGAAGTGTTTCATCCTAAGGAGGTGCCAGTTCCTACAATCATAGCATCCAGGTAGTGTGCCCTCAAGTATGTTTTTTTTGTTTTAAAAAAGTTTTTGCCTATGTGTTTTAAATGCTTGAACTTCTGAGTTGTTCTGTTTCTAACAGGGGACTGCCATATTAATCTCCTAGAAGGATCAGAAGCTAACTAGAAACACTGTATTTTGATTTAGCTGTCCATATGATACATTGTTATAAAGGACAAAAAATACCCTAAAACAATGGAAGCTTTGCTTCTTCCACAGAACAATATGGGGTATTCAGTCTGGAGCAATGCTGCTATATTCTTGTTGTTTAATAACCACCATTTCTTTCTGGTTTTATTTTTTAGTGATCACTATTTTACTTGGCTTACTTGGGTAACAGATACTCGAATCTGTGTGCAATGGCTAAAGAGAATCCAGAACTTTTCAGTCTTAGCCATTTGTGACTTCAAAGAACGTTCAAATACTTGGGACTGTCCAGAGGTAATAAAGTTGGAAATATAAATTTAAAATTGCTGAAATTAGCATTTACTAATCCCTGCCATAATTGCATTTTACAGCGTTTGATCAGATTCATTTTTACTAGTAGTGATACCTTTTTTCAATATTTTAATTGCTGGAGAAGGGCTGAAAAAATATTATTTACTCCAACAAGAAATTGAATCACCAAAATATTTTTTTGTGCGAGGCTTAAATAACAACCAAAGCAACAAAACCCAGAAGAATGCTATTGAGAAGCTTTTAGTACTGTTGTTTAGTTCCTCCTTGCTTCATCACATCCAAAAGTGGAACCATACAGGATCTGTATCATCTTTTAAAAGAAAATCTAATTATACCATGTTGAAATTTGATGCTAAGTCTGACTAAATCATGTCCTTTATGATTAATGTTAAATTAGTTGAAAGAACATACTGATTAAAAGAGAGGAGCTTTTCAGGAGGAAGAAAGTCTTCTCTCTTATTAAGTCTACATTTGGAGAGAGCAAGCAAGTTTTCAGAAACACAAACAGATCTAAAAGAAAACTTCAATCTAATTGCAACAATAGCTCTACCTTTTGTTTAAATATATCATTCTATGATTTAGACAGTTTGGAAGGAAAATCATGTTCTGCTAAGCAGAACACAGCTCTGTAAAGCCTGAAGAGTGTAGACACTAATAAATTCATATAGATCCTAAAGGAAAGACAGCTCTAAATTTCAGTAAATCTAGTATAGAAATCTCTTTTATTGTCTTTTAGTATTACTGGTGTTTGCTTGTCTTGTTCTTAGGGTTGATGGTACAGAACACCTATAAAAACTAGCATTAGGATGAAACCTTGAACTAATGGAAAATAAAAGGCAAGAATATTTATAAAAGTGTTCTATATAACTGATAAATTGTAAATTCAGAGTTTATTGACACAGCCTTTTCAAGCTGAAAATAATGTTTATTCCTCTGTGATACAATAATTGTTGCAAATTTAAAGGGATGTTTAGGTCCTGTTATTTCAAAAACATAACCATTGAAGTAGTTTTCCACAGAGAACTATCATAATATATTAGGAAAAAATACATATTTCATGCAAAATTTGAAGTATTTCCTACATAATCATTCCACTTTATAAGTACATTAACATTGAATCTCTATCTTGCCTTCACGTAACCTATATTTTAATAACTACATATTTTAACATACAGAAAAAGGCGTAAGGGTTCTAGGACTCTACTATAATCCACCAAAGTACTTTAACACAAACTTAACTTTTAGCACATAACCAGTTTTATTTATGTCAATAGGTCTGTTTATGTGTTTAAAATTAAGCATGTGCTTAATTGCTTTGCTGGAACCAGACCAGACCAATTAACATCTTGCAGGACTGTGTTCATGATCCTTGTTTAATTGCATTTCTCCATGAAACCTTATTTATGGAGTCACTACTGACGTTTCTATAATTCTATATTTATACAGTGATACAATGCTTTTATCACATTAAAGTTTGCACAAATGGCCAATCGAAGGAGTGTGAACAGATGGGAGTTCTGCATTAGCTCTATTTGCCATTAGAAAGTATATCTCTCTACATTTCCTTTGGCAAAAATAGTTCTCTTGTTGAATTCAGATTACATTGAGTTTCTAATGTACAACAATCATGCTAGGATTTATGTACTTGAAAATAATAACAAAATATAATCTACAAGATGTTCCTAAAGTGTAGATTCATCAGAAATGTTCACGTGTTCAACTCCTGCTCATATGAATAGGCTGTAGAAATAAATATTACTTTAGTAGAACTATTCATGTGAGTAAAAGCTAGGCATGTGTTTGTGAAATTGGGATTTCCTATAAAGATGCCAGTTCTCTAATTAAATTCTGTAAATAATTTCATATACAGAAAAATCCCATAGAAATCAAGGGGACTACTGATATGAAAGAAGTTAAATATATCCCTAATGTACTATGTCATCAAGATCTGAGTCTTAATTTAAAGAAAGGAAAATAAAGTTAGGATGCAGATATAAAACAAGATATCCCATTTTTCTTATCTTAAAAAGAAATAAAATCCATCTTCTCATTTAATAGCTCAGTGGAGCCCTTGCAAAGTACTAAACAGTCTTCTAAGGCACAAGTACCTGCAATTTTTTTTTCCTTATTCTTCTTTATAAATACATTATTTGCAGGATTTTGTAAAATCAGGCCCTTTATTATCTCTAAGCTAAGCACCAGATCTGGAGACCCTAGATTTTTATGTTCTTTTACTTTAAGTATTTGGCTTTTATTTTTAAGTTTTTTAAGGTTTACATTTAAAAGACGTACCCAGCAGTCACATCATCCACTGTTATAAATCAACATCACAGCTCTTAATTGAAAGAAAATATGAACCAGCTGAAAATCTGAAGTAGACTTTTAATATTATTATTCCTGAAATTATTTTATTTGGGTTTTTTACTGAAAAATTCATGAGATTAAGTATTTGTTCATTCTTGTTTTCAGTCAAAATGTTAGATAGGGTTAAAATAATTACTCTAGATTTTATTTAGCTCTGATGATAGCTGTTTAAAAAAAATAATTTAACTAACATAATTACATTAATACAAGAATATTTACTGCAGACAGCCTTCAAGTCCCTGAAACTTTACAGCAAGTATTCTAAAATTCTCTTTTACAGGTGGCTACAGATTTGTTTATTTGAAGATTTTGAATCTCCAGAAACTCAATCTTCTTAAAGACTGTACATTTGATTTTGTTTTTCAGAATCAGCAGCACATAGAAGAGAGTCAAACAGGATGGGCAGGCGGAGTAGGTTTTCTTGTTGTACTCTGTTTTGATTCGCTGAAAAGCTACGGCTTTCTGCATCTTCCCATCAGTGTTTTGAAACATGAAGCACCCTTCTGAGTCATAACAACACTACTGCTTAAACCTGTTGCACTGTAGGACTGAGACTTTTAGTACTGTGCTAGATGTAGTATCTGGCTACCTGCTTTCTGAATTTAAAAACCTATTTCTGCCTCCGTTTGAAAATCTTAGACCAACTGACTAGACACAACACTGAAGGAAGGGAAGTCATGAAAAGAGGTAGATTTATAGTGCAATGTAATTATTAGAAGCATCCTGGAGGCTAAGAATAGATGTAAAACTCCTCTGATGACACTAGGGCAAAGGATCAGATTGGCTATCATAGTACTTGAAGAGTAAAACCTGCCCATTCATAACAGTTTTAGTGCCAAGTGCTGCACATCTTCAGCTGGTGGGAACCTCCAAGGTAAGACACCCCACTTGCAATGGTAGGTGATACTTCTCTGTAGCTACTTCTAAGCAAAAGAAGTTTTTCTCCACCCAGTAGAGACAAAACACATACCTTTCGAAACTTGCAGTAAAAACAAACCTACAAGGAAATTTTAAGAGCATGAGATAAGTATTTACAATCATATAGTCCAACTGTGAATATGTACTACTGCTTATGTTTACTTATGTTTACAGGCAGGGCAAGTTAGCAGAACCCAGTGTGCAGAACCTCACACTGTGCCTGAATGTCTTGCAGTGGACTTAACTGTGAGCTTCATTTTCAGTACACTGTCCTTTAGGAGACATGTTTTAATATGAAGAGCATACATTTACAAGGATTAGTTATTTTACTTCATCCTTTTCATTTTTTGCCACTTCTCTTGAGACTCTCATGGCAGGTTTTTATTACAGCTAAAGAAATTGCACATATGCATAAATCCTCTAGCTTTTATGGGATTTCAAGCATTAGGAATCACAGAAGCAATCTCCAGGACAATTTAACTTATGGTCACAAGTTCTAGTCTAGCTTGAGTTAGTATTCTTCAGAAGTGATACTCACTGCAGAAGGTCTGGTGCTATGTTTGAAATTCTTTCAGGTCATTCTTCTGTCTTCATGTTTTGAAAGTAAAACTTAGAGTTGCAGTAACTGAGCCTTGACTGACAATTTTAGTAAAGATGTGATTATTTGAAAGGAAGCAAAAGTTGAGTGATCTTACCTGGAATAATCTGTTTTTTAAAATTAGTGGAATACCATGGGAAACATCAGATATCCATTTATTTAGTGCTGTGTTCATTGAAACAGTGAAACTCTGTGGTCCACAGAATATTGAGTCTCGCACCATTCATGAACATTGGCTTTATTCAGAAACTTATTTTTTAAAAATCACCTCTATCTGTTTTTAATTAACTAAAAAAAAAGGTCATTTGGAATATACAAGTTATTCCACTTACATGTAGAGAGCTCACTTTTGTGAGGTGCTTGAGGTATCTGTATTATCAGTTTAGGAAATCTGACATGACAGGTTAGAAATTGTAATCTATAATGACTGGGAGATTGAATATCATAGGTCCCCTTTGAACTAATTTTTTTATGTGCACTATAATCTGGTAAACAGCTCAGACAGTCTTATTTACATCTCATCTACTGTTTTTCTTCCATTGTTTCAGTTCTTTGTTTCTTCACCTTATTTTACATCAGACAGCAGTTCATACTACAAAATTTTTAGTGACAAAAATGGTTATAAGCATATTCACTACATCAATGGCTCTATGGTAAGTCAAGCAAAGTGTTCTACATTGATCTACTGTAAGTTCCTGAAATAATGCTACAATATTCAGTAACTTAAATATCTTTCTACACAGGAGAATGCAATCCAAGTTACAAGTGGAGAATGGGAGGCAATATACATTTTCAGAGTAACAAATGATGCAATGTAAGTGTCATGAAGAAAACAGGCTGTAAGTGATGTCAGTAAAAGCAACACAATCATTTGAACATCATTTGTTAACTCGTTAGGTTATAACTAGGTATAATTTGGTTTTTATCTGAATGCATCCACTACAAATTTGTATACAAAGGCACTGCATAGGTTTGCAAACATGGTTTACTTCTGAGAGATTCTTTGCAAATTGTCCTTAATTTTCTGTTTAATCACCTCTTTTAGACATATTTAAAAATACTTCATTTATTCATGTGTTTAATCATTACACAATTTGCAGTTACTTGTCTTTTTATCATGCCTCATTCAGCTTACTGTATAGATAGATACAGCTTACATAATTGGAAATATTAGCTCATGAGAATTAAGAAGAACTATTTATATGTCTTATGTGTTGTCTAATCGTAGATTGAGTGAGGATTTATTAAAATAAAAAGTATATAAGCTTAACTACTCTTCCATTGCATGCAGAAATCACAAAAAGTCTAAATTAACTTCCAAGATGGCTTTTCATCTTGCTGCAGGTTCATAGGTCATAACTTTGTGGATTATTTATTAACATATAAATGAATTTACAGTTTCTATTCAAGCAATGAATTTGAAGGCTATCCAGGAAGAAGGAATATTTACAAGTAAGTGTTATCAACATTGTCTTAATGATAGTAGGTTGATAGAAGATATCTCTGAATTTGTTGATAAAACAATTAAATTTCAATATGTTTAAAATGTAATTTCACAAGTATTGTAAGTAAATCTTCACCTCAGATTATATCTGAGAATTGAGAAATAACATCTAGGATTTAAATACACTCTTGGGAAAAAAATTAATAAAGATGCCAAACATTTATTTTTAAATTGAACAGTTCTGAAAGTACAATTCCTGTATTCAAGAATGTGATGCAGACACATGTGAAGTAAACTGTAGCAAAATAACTATTTATTTTATTTTTCTCCTAGAATCAGTATTGGAAGTAAACCTATAAGAAAACAATGCATTACTTGCAATTTAAGAAAAGAGAGATGTCAGTTTTATACAGCAAGATTCAGTGAACGTTCTAAGTATTATGCCTTGATCTGTTATGGTATGTATAGCATGGAAGCAGATATATAATTAGTTGTTCTTTCAAATTTATCAGTGCTGTAGTTAATACTATAGTTATGCGGTTAATACATACAAACAGTGAGGTCACAATCTAAAAAACAAAAAGAAAAAAGTATCCAAGGTTTCCCTTTTGTGTATTTCATATAAAGTTTACTGTTCTTCTGATTCTGCACTGACTGATCAGCTGAAAAGTTCCTTAGAATTTCTGTTGAGCAGAGAACCAAATGTAGCAAATAACAACACCTTTCAATCATTCCTGCACAAAACAGTCAGTAAGGTCGTCACCATGTGAAAGGCGCACACCTTCACAAATACGATGTGACATATTCTCAGAAGAATGTTTCACATTGTTAATTCTGCATTTGCCTTATGTAATCACATCTCAGGTATTAACTAGATGTCACTTCATCTCTAGGGTGGAAGAGTTTGTTAGTGGATTTAAAGTTCCTTCTATTATGTTTGCTAAGCAATGCCTGTATGTATGCAAGCCTTTGTACACACAGTACCTTATGTATATCGTGCAGCAGGGACTTGTGGGTTACCCAGCAGAGAAGATTCAGATCTGTGTGTCAATTTAAGCTCTTTAACTCCTGTCACTTACCAATGTTAATGTAATATACACTACATCACCAAATTCCAGCTTCAAACTGTAAAGTGCCTTCTTATGATTCTTATGACAGGTCCTGGGATTCCCATTTCTACTCTTTTTGAGAACCACGGTGATAGAGGTACTGCAAGTATCCTGCCTATTTCTGACCAATTGTTATACTCCTTGATCTTCACTATGCAGATCCTATAATACAATATTTAGGCTTGTAATCAAGAATCTTTCATCTTATTTGGTATTAAAATATCTATTATCCTTCTAAATTTGTTAATTAGTGAAATCCAAGTATGAATGAAAACATTGATGCCTTTATTTTAATTCCTGAGTCCATCACTTTTATAGGATCCTGATGTTTTCCCTGTTTATCCATTATAGATAAAATGAACATCAGCAACTCTTTGTCTACCAAATTTTGAGTCAAACTTTGTAGAAAATACTGTGCTTCACAGACTATTCCTTTTCATAGTTGGATGAACAAAAGACTTCTTGCTTTCTTTCATGAGGCAACACTACCTTATACAAAAGGCAATGGTGTGCTATTTAGAGTTTGACCCATTGTGCTGTACTAATTAGAATTTGGATCAGTGACCTGCTCTTTAGCCATCAGTAGAGATGTCAGGGAAGAGCAGAAGTTCTTTCAGATGATCAGTTCAAAAAACTGCTTCAGACAAGGTGTAATTATTGATGCAAAGTGGAATCTTCAGCAAGAAACATTCAGAGCCCTCATTCTTTAAGTAGCCTCTCAGTGAGGACTGTTTGCAAACAAGCCGAGGAGGAACTGTCTAACAATGAAAATATTATTTGCTCTGAAGTGAATTTTCTGTCTCTGTCCCTTGTTTTTCTCTAAAAGTTCATCTTCATCTTAAAGCCTTCAATGTTAAGCCCTCTTAAAGCCCTCCCTGAAATGTTACAAAAACTAGCATGATCCTGTATAAAATTTCAGTGACTTAGCATTCTCCTTCCTTCCCCAGTAATCACTGGAAATGAATTGGTAGTTGTAATGGTCCTTGCAGCTCATCCCATATTGATAACCCAGATCACTATTAACTGAGTGATGTCTGACCAGAAATATAAAGACATGAAAACATAAGGAAGACAAATGCCACAATATTGTTAAGCTAAATTAATCTGTGGTGATTCAGGTAGAAATCAATTAATTGCAATATAATATTTAGACTCCAAAAGCAGTTGGTACATCTTAGTTTTTAACTACTCAAAAATGTTTGCAGATGGAAAAGATTGGTTAACATGTCTATTGCAATTATGCTATAAAAACACTGTGTTCTGATATTTCTTTTGCAAAAGGTTTAAATACAGTTCATGCATGGATTTTTTCATATATAACCTATTCTCATAGCTCTCTGTTTTCCCTGATTTATTATTACCTTGTTTATCAAGGCCCCTGCTACCTTATCAAACTGTGAATTGCATGAAATGCAGCTAAGTGCCCAACTGCAATTATGTGTTTCTTAACCTCTCTGCAGGAGAGAAAAGTTTCATGTAATGCATTTTCACTACTGGTTTCATGATGACTCACTCAACTGTGCTATTATTCTTCAAGAATGAAAACAAATTCAGGCTTGTCTTAGACTTTTTCATTACCTTTTTTGGATTAATTTTCCTTATGTCCCTTGCTTTCATAATCTCTTCTGTGGTACAAAACTGTTTTTAGTAAATCCATTTTCATTGCAATTGGCAGCATTTTAGTATCACCCATGAATTTTAGTAGGATATATGCAGGTAAACTAATATACACCAATTTGGAAGCTCCTTCCAGAATGTCTACAATCCAGTTGTGGTATTGGGCAAGTTTAAGGAGTTTTGAGGGGAAGCAGGGAAAGGGTTCAGCTTAGTTTGGGTGAGTATCCAAAGCTAGGATGATCTTTCAGCCATACAAAAAAACACTTGAAGCTACTTGTCAAGAGTACTTTGAAAGAACAAATTCCAGTTATATTTCCAGCATTTCCTGAGCACTACTATCTAGCTCAATACATATTGAGAGAAGAAGACTTCTTGTATTTTTTTGAGCATTTCCAGAAACAGGGAGGGGGGGAAAGGTAAACTAAAAAAAAAAAAATCTCCTGCAATTTTAAAAGGTTCTTTCATTTTGAAAGTGAAGCTAAAAGTCACAGATTTCCATTATGTACAACGTTCTTCATCCATCACTACTCATTGGAAAGCACATAAATAAACAAGTAAGACACATGATGGGATGAATTTTGCATTTCCAGCTCCCACTATTTTAAAAAATAGAGTGAGGACTCTGCAAGAGGAAGAAGTTTCTTCCATAACATGTGGGACTCTAACATTTAGAGGCAACATGTGAAATGATTTGCATTGCAAAACGTACATCCTATAAAAATCTAATGAGTATTTGTGCACTGCAATACCAGTGTTTTGCTTTCATTTACCTATGTGATCAAGCCCAGTTAGAAGTGTCTGAGTGGATTTTATTACTCTGCTTGTAAAAGTCAGATTTCCTTTCTGTTCTAATAACACTAAATAAATGAATGTTAATTAATGAAGAGAAATTAACAATAAATCAGTAAATAATTCAGGCATTTCTTTTACTTAGAGCTCAGAGTATTGGAAGACAATAGGGAATTACAGTCTGCTTTGCAAGAGATCCAGCTGCCAAAAGAAGAAGTTAATAAACTTGAAGTGGATGGTATAAGTAAGAATTACACATCCTTATTATACTTTTTACTGCTACCATTTTAATATTTTTCCTTAATTTTGTGATAGTAAGTATTGTCTTTCTGTAGAACAAACTTGTTAGCCTGTCAGATTGGGAAGAAGAGGCCTGGTTCTGCCCAGCTCTACAACTAATTTGTCTTTGCCTCAGGGTACCTGTCAGTAAAATAGTAGCTAAAATACAGCTCTGCTTCACAATACAATTTTTTTTAAATTCTTTAATACTACTAATAAAATATTTAAATATTGTGTAAAAACTATATAATGTGGTGGTAATAAAATGTGAAATATAAACTGCTGTTCATGTTTTATACATTATATTCATTTGCACGCACTGTTCTTTTCACTAGTGACTTTACAAAAAGTATTCCGTGGTAATAAATTAAAAAAGTTTCAAAAACTAATTTCTGGTAATCTTAGCAACTGTTACATTCCTAGTTATGCTTTTCTAGGCACCTGGAAAAACTGAGAACTAGGCTTTTGTGAAATAATAATTTTATGCATAGCTAAATTAAACTAAATGTGGGTACTTTATTTCTTCAAAGTTGTTCTTCAGCAGCTCCATATAAACAGTTAATTGCATCAGTTCTGTATTTCACAGTTCATGTGTTGTGTACTGTGTGCTGATTCATGTTCATATACTCTTACACCAAACTCTGGATTATGCGTAAAGGAATCATTATAACCACTAAGAATATAATTTTAATATGTCTTTTCTAGCTTTGTGGTACAAAATGCTTCTACCTCCACAGTTTGATAGATCCAAGAAGTACCCTCTGCTTATTCAGGTGTATGTAACACTTCCTTTCTTTGAATTTTGTTTTGTCAAAAACTCCATACTTCTTATAATTTAACTAAACCTTGTACATTTGCAACATTTTAGGAAGTAAAAGCAAAACTATGTAGTTCTGTACTGTTTGTTGTGGTGGGTTTTTTTAATATATTTCTGGAAAAGAAATTTAAACCAATGGAGATGGATAAGGTTTTTAATGTTAATCTTAGCATGGTAAAGGTTAGTTTCTCAGAGAAGAGAAAAGGCTAAAAACATGTGGGCTATTCCTTGTAGTTCTTAGCCCTGTAGCTGCTTCTGTTTATTATGAGGCAGTCTGAAAGTATTGATTTCAGCTTTTTTAATATGAAAAATACAGGAGCCTCTAAGAGCACTGAAAATAATTTATTGCAGGAAAAAAAGGCAATAAAAATTGCAGTGGAAAAAAAAACATAATAAAAAAATATGCAGAAAGGAGAAATGAGTCGATGTAATAAACTTTGCATCATTTTATTAACTAGTGATGATCCAAAGGTCCAAGAATGCTAAGTATGTTTGAATGAAGTTTAGAGTAGAAGAGTCCTGTCCTTGAGGTCAAATGTGTATTTGCTTTAGGCCGTTCTCATGAGGAGTGTCTCCCTGTATTGCTCAGCTCTACAGGGTGTGTTCTGCCCACAGCTCCAACAGCACATGGTATTCCTCACTGAAACAAATAAGGTCTGGTGATGGCCAGAAAGTGTAAAGAGCTCTACTTCTTTCTTCTGTTTTCTTTGGTATTGCTGCATGTGGAGATCAAATGCAGAAAAGCACCAAACAGGGCTATTACCCCTAAGGAATGTAGAGAGAGAAAAGAACTGAGTCTTTGAGGCATAACTCTTCCAAGGATTCACCTTAGGACAATCACCTGATACTGCACCCCTTAACCTGAGCTAAAACTTACTATTTGCCTTAGGCATAAGACCTAAATGATTAAGATAGATTTTAGATAGCAAAATCTCATAAATATATGAAAATGTTAGCTGAATTGTTTGTCTGCTGGGCTCTCTGAACAACAGACACATAGCAAAATATATGTGGAGAAAATGTTAGCATACATAGCATGTATAGCTATAGTCCAGTGTCGAGTAACCATTTATAAATGAGTTAAAAATGTGTGAATTTTCATCTTCAGGTATGGAGGACCTTGCAGTCAGAATGTAAAGGAAACATTTAGCATTAGCTGGATCACCTATCTTGCAAGCAAAGAGGGAATTATTGTTGCTCTAGTGGATGGCAGAGGGACAGCTTATCAAGGTGACAAAATTTTGCATGCAGTATATCGAAGACTTGGAGTCTATGAAGTGGAAGACCAAATCTCAGCAGTGAAGTAAGTAGGCTATCTCCCTGTAAAACTGTTGTACTTACATGTCTACAAGTAGTAATGTGAAAAAAAATATTAAATTCTCAGCCTTTCTTCTGAAGAGCTGAGGTCTTCAGGAAATAAGAACACTTGTAAAAATAAAATATTACTGTTTGCTTCATGTCAGTGAGATTTTGGGTGTTATGAAGTCCATATACTACTAAGTCCACATCTGGACCTCACCACTTCCATTTTGTTAGAGCATCATCAAAAGCTTCAGTCCTAGGCCTAAGGAAATACAAGTGAAAGTGGTGAGAGGTAAGCCAATGTATTATCCATTATCCTGAAGTTTTCCCTGTAGGGCAAACCTACCTCAGTGACCATAGAGATCCATAATGATTATCTAAAGGTCAGTTAGTAATAAACTTGCATTCTGTGCTATGCATAAACTTGCATTATAGGATCATCAAGAACAAAAGAAAGTGCCTGAGGTCCCCCATAGGTGTTCCCCAACAGCTGCTCCTTTGAATCAAAACACTTAAAAGTGTTCCCAGAGAAAATAATTCCCTATGTAGAGTTTTGAGGAGGGAATGAAAGCTGAGGATTGTAAAGAAAGACTGACTGGTAATCTTACAGATGCAGTAGCACTGCTAAAGTGAGCAGTTAATTTGTTAATTTGTTAAGTGTTAATTTGAACCCCACAGAGATGAGTACAAGGCAGGAATATGGAATTTAGTCTAGCCTAAGGAATTTGGCCCAGCAGAGTATGGATAGATTTCCAGGTGCAACAGTAAGCACCCTCTTTCCTTCAGACCCAACTGAGTACCTTAGCTAGAAATTGGATGTAGCAATCCAGGCTTTCACAGCTTTCTCTGCTTGTTTGAGAACACTGCCTGTACTTAAAAGTGTGTGTGAGGAGGATATCTGCTCCTTCCTCTTTCTGCCTTGTGATAATTCGTTTCCTACTCAATGATATAAACACACCATTTTCCCTTTCAGTGATAAATGAAACAGAATAGCTGTATATCATGTCAGGTTTTTTCTATTAATCTATTATTTTATTTTCTTTATTGAAAGTTTAGGAGGAGTGGCATACTTTAAAATATCACAAGAATGGTTTTTCATTACTCTGAATCATCACTCTGACATGAAATGTCAGAGACAGAGGGAACCTAAACTGATTCTGCAATTGCAAAATCTGCTGAGACAGGCCATGAAGAAATGACCTCAGTTTTCACACTTTCCAGTTTTCTGTCAGCACCTAAACTAAATTTTTATTCAGTTAAATGTAGCGCATTCCATCTTCCTGATCTAACACATGGTTTAAGATGCATGATTTTTAGAGAGGACTCTATACTCTAGAGGGAAGTTCTTGGAATGGCTTTTACTGTTGGAGGAGCCCTGGGGATTAAGATAGTAATGTAACAAAACTGATTCATTTTTTTGCTTTTCTAACTTTGTCCCACCCAGATAGTGTCCTGAATTTTGGGTGTTGTCAGTCACTCAGGTTTGTCCTAATAAATAAGGCTAATATGTGTCCTGGGATATATCTGAACCTATTTGATTTATCTGTCACTGTCAAACCTTTATGTTCTTTTGCCTCATGTCTTTTCTTTGCTGTTAATAATACTTCTCTAGAAATACAGTCTTCAGACTCTGATGCAGGATATTTTAGGACATCTAATATTTATTATTCTCTTTGACCTGTTTGACTGTATTTCAAGCTCATTACCTACTTGGAGTGTTAGAAGATATTTTCCTCCTTATTGTTTTTTATTATAATAGTAGTATAAGCTTTTTACTTTTCAGGCACATAAAGAAGAAAGCTTATTTCTCCAGGGAATCCCTAATCTCAGAGGCTGATACTGTGCCTCTCAAGAAATCAGAGGCTAAATAACCAGGTGGATTTTAAATATAGGAAAAAAGAACTCTTTTGCCAAGAAGCCAGATGAGAAGAGTCCTCACCCACTGGAACAAAAATTATTATGATGAAAGTATTAATTTCAGTATTTTTTCGTCTTTCAGGAAAAATTCTTCCCTTTCCTCTGAAATACCTATTAATTGAATAATTGATGCTTTGTAGAAATCAGACATGCTATGCTGAATATCAGTTTGCACACATTGGTGGAATGTGTGAAAAAAATGGAAGAAAAACTATTTTTTGCTAATTTTTATAGTATTAGCAATCTTTTGTAATAATTCATTTATTTCTATGATTTTCTTTTCCACAGAAAATTTATAGAAATGGGCTTTATTGATGAGAAACGAATAGCGATATGGGGCTGGGTAAGTAAATGATTGAGTTTTTTGTATCTAGCTTTAAATAATCCTGCAGTATAATTTTTTTAACTCTTCCTTATTCTGTATGAAGTTTCTTCTACCCATGCATAATGGTATTACCGAAGGGGATAGTTCCTGTTGGTGCTTATGTACTTACAATTGCAACAATGCAAGCCCTCAAAAAGGAATCTTTGGCAGCTCAAGAGGGAATTTTGAAAAGCTTATGTCTAATACAGTGTTTGGACTTTAAGTGAAGCCAAATTGAGATGTTTTAATTGGCTTCACTTTTAACTTAGGGGCTTACTGGCATGGTTTCAAAATTCAAGTATTGTCTGTTCTGATCCAAGATTAAAATAATGAGAAAAGTCCTATGACTATCTCTCATGAGAAAATGTGACCCTTGCATCATTCTGAGTCACTGTGTACTTTTCTGTAATGGTCAGTAGGGATGAATGTGGGTCTGAGACGTTTTCAACTTTGATAGCTTCACCAAGAAGTGGAAAAATTGAACAGTATGGGAGTTATTTCAAATTATTTATTAGCTTTGTAACACTCCCAGAACCTTTAATAGACAGATGTACTGCAAGTCTTTATTAATAAATGGACATATTCTACTGCCCTGAGGCACTAAGAAATAGAGTAGCATACCTCAAGTACAAATTTTAGGATAGCACTGCATTCTAATAGGACAAAAATAAATTATTGGAATAGTTGGGGTTGTTTTTCTATGCTGTCAACTTCAAAGTAGGACCATTCATAAAAATGAGATGCAGAGCCATTAGTGGTTTTAATGGGAGAACTGAAGCCATCTTCAGTGACAGCACAAATGCCCCACAGCCCGTTTAGAGAGATTTTTAAGATGTTTAGGCCATTTGACTCAGTTGTTCATGTTTATTGTGAAGGGCTGAATCAAGAATGCATAGGCAGAACTGCTGCCCTGCCTCCCACCCAGCTTCAGCATAACTGAATTATACTGTATGGGAGAACAAGCTGATAAGCAACACCTGAGGGTCTCATGGATTAGGGATGGTACTGTCAGGAATGCTAAAGGGAGTTGGAGGCCACACTTAGTCCTTCTCTGAGTAAATTAGTAGCAGCTATCCAGCAGTAACAGGCTGCACCAACTAAAAAAACTTACAGAGTAAACTGGTATGTTAGACACTAATTAACATTGTCCAATATTTTTCTCCACATACATGTTTGTTTTTCTCTAGTTATCATCCAAAAAGACCTCTTATTTAATTCACTTTAACTGTCTGTCTTTGCCAGGAGAATTATTCTGATCTGTCCCTGTTTGGTTTGTTTATTTTTGCTGGGGTTTGTTTGTTTATTTGTTTTTGTTGGCCCAGTTTCATTGTAAGAGGTTTGCTCAGAAACATTCTAGAGGATGGATCTTTTAAGTTTCAGTTCAACTCTAAATAAAGAAATTGCCTGATCTTAGATAGCATGTGAGCAGGGTTGCTAAAATCTTTCTATGAAGCTTCTACCAACTAATATTTAAATTACTTTGATCAGACACTGCTATAACACCAGGATAAAACAGGTACCATATGATGAAATTAAGTGACACAGACACTTAAAAGTGTTTAATTCTAGAGTAACATTAGATAATTTAAGGCCACATGAAAATATTTTTAAGTCACATCATATTTTATTTCACCACAGTGTTTCCAGAACCAACTAAGAGCTTGCACATATCTAAAACATTGTATCCCAATAGCAGATATGATATTAAAATGACGGCACTACTGACAAACCTATCAGTATTTTTTTCCATTTTTCTTTCTATTTATTATACCATTTCCTGGTCCATAAGCTTTGAAAGGAGTTGAAAGGTGTTTCCTTATTTATAGCCTGCAGCTTGACAGATACGCATGAATTTGTACTTTCAGTCTAACCAAACTTTTCAGGATGGCAAAAGCTCTTAAATAACCACTAAAGCAATTCAGGTTGTGAACTCTATCTCTCTGCCTGTTACAGCGAATAGATTTATCTGCCCAATCCTAATCCTTTGCTTTATAGCCTTGTGGACTGATTTTTAAAAAGATCAAATGAGCAGATCAAATGAGCAGGAAAAATTCTATGAATTGGTGTTTCTATTACCATATCCCTCACTATCATTTCAAGCTGGAGTGTCAAGAGAAGAGAAGAACTAACTTAACTTTTTTACAAAAAAAAATATGTAGTAGTTTTGCTTATTTCCCTTAATCTATCATATGCTACTGAGATAATCTTCAGAATTGTTCATGACACACCCCATATTTTTATCCTTCCCTCCATTCCAAAGTAAACAAAACACCATTATTTCCCAAAGACCTTACATGAGCTTTTCCAGCCTCGGTTCCATGTGCTCTGGAGAGCCAAACCAAAGGCTTTTTATTTACAGTATTTTCCTGTCTCAGAAACTAGCCCCACACAGTTTCACAGATCTATTCTGATAGCCGGGCTTACTTACTAGTGCTACTACTTATTTATTTACCTACCTAACTTCTGGCTATGAACTTATTCTTCCTTTCTGGGTCTCAGTTTGAGGAATCAGGCCAGAGAATAACAGGAACAGTGGCAGGCAGTAGAGGGGAATTGCTCCAACCTCGAGTTCTCAAGTAGCTGAGTCTGTTAGTACTGATAATTGTGTTGGTTCAATATGCCAATCACTATCAATAACTAGGTAGTTTGTTAAGGGAGGGAAAAACCTATAACTCTTCTTGAGGTGAACATTGAAAGGATGAGAGGCAGAGAACACAAGTTGTCATAAGGGAAGTTTTCTTTAGGTTTTTGGAAAAGAAATTTATGAAAACAGGGATCACTGTTGAAGTGGAATGAGTAGGGAGGCTGTGTAAAATGGATGTGACTGATTGACCTCATTTAAATCTGAAGTTAGCCCCATTTTGAGATATAGGTTGCATTAGATTACCATGAAAGACCCTACCAACTTAAATTTTTCTTTGAATAAGTGATAATAAGAGCAGTATCCTGTGATATGCATTGAAGAAGTAGCAAAAAAGAAGTGATTCAATAAAATTGTCTAATCTGTCTCACAAGGAATCACATCAGATCCATTTGAAATTACTGATTTGTTTTTAAAAAAAGCTTTTATTGCTTTGTCTGCTATGCATTCAAAGCAAAATATTTACTTTGGAATTGATTTATATGAGTTTGATTCTTCACCAGTAATTTTAAACTGTCTGTGATTTCTCCTTAGTCCTATGGTGGGTATGTAACTTCTTTGGCACTTGGATCTGGCAGTGGAGTATTTAAATGTGGAATGGCTGTGGCTCCTGTTTCCAGCTGGGAATATTACGGTATGGAAACTGATCGTAAATGCTGATTTGGAAAGCAAGATGTAGCATTCAATGGCTTCTTAAATGAAATCATTGCAGGAGACTGGTGATTTGAAATGTAAAGATGTTGAAATTACTTAGACATAAAACTCTTAAGACCTTAACTTTAATGTTTTCCTTGCTGAAAATAATTCACTGCAACTGGCAGTTTGGAACAGACTTTGTTACACAGAAGAAGGTATGCCCCAGTAATTCCATACGCACATCTGTAACAGTAAGTGTGTAAAGCCCTCTCGATAAACTGCTATAGTAAGGAGTGATCTTCCTAAAAATCCTATTAAAACAGTATCACTGAATTAAGAAGCAGCTGAACTGATTTTTCTGCCAGTAATGGAATCACAGTGCACTTCAAATACTCAGATGACCTCTGTCAAGAATCAGTATCTCTGAAGACTGCAAGGTTATTTCCCGAAAGCAGTGGAAAAGAGAGGGACTTTTGTGTCTGATATAATTTTTTTAAAATTAAATATTTTTCCCTTTAAATGTTTCTCAGCCACACGCTCTGTGTTGTTGTGTTATGATACGTATTTTTATTTATGTTTATGGAATTAGGCTCCAAACTGTTCAGAGGAAACAACTCTCAGAGTATAGTCCCAAGGCCTTCCTGTGTGAATAAAACAGGCACATATTCATACTTGCCGACCTGTTAATCTTTTGGCATAGTGTAAAGGAACCTTAGTGTAAAAAAAAAACATGGCATGCATGTTTTCAATGAGTAAAATGTAGCACTTTGAACACATTTACTTAGCATATGGTCGTTTGCTAAGAAGTCTTGGTTATGAAAAAATTTTTTGGTTAAATGGAAAAGATTCCTTCCCTGACTGCTAGCACAGACATTCCTTGTATTTATGGTGTTTTGCAAACAAAGGGGGAAATATTTGTATGACACAGGAAGCATAGTCTTTATGTTTTCACAGGCATCAAGATTTTTTTTAAGACATTTTTACTCACGATCACAAAATTATTACCAAAATGCAGGCATAAAGCACTGTTTTTGCAGAAGTCCTTTAATAAAAGAAGAGTTATAAAAATTAGTCTAAGCATTAAAAATTGAATGCAGTTTCTTAGTTAAAGTAGATTAGATCCGCACCATTGCAATCTTTACTTCAGCTGAATTTTCAGGAGGAAGTTTAAGAATCTTGCTAAAAACATGTTGTAAAATCCAAACAGGCAAATGTACCTCTACTAAGGAAGGAAGGAAACAGGAGGAAGCCATGAGTCATAAGTTTTGGCAAACAGAGGGCAAAACTACAGGATGCTACATATTTGAGTCTCTAAGTAGTATCAGTATATCAGAGAATGTACTGGCCCCATAGAGCTTCTAAATTCTGTCCCACAGTTTGAGATGCACAGAGATTCTGGACCATAATCTTTTCTCAGGAACCATCCCACCCCTCTCCATTTTCAGTCAGAGTTAGTAACAGCTGAACAGTTATAAGATGTAAAGGGAAATTCTATTCAGGGATAATGTATGTTAAAAGCATTAAATCTGTGACTGTTTGGTTAAAATTTATTTAAATTTATCTCCTTTTCCTTCTTTAATAATTGACAAGCTGAATCTTCCACTTAGTCATCATAATGCAATTCTGCTGACCTCTGTGAACTTGCTGTAGCTATACTGCTAGAAGAGAGTGGAGAATTTGGCTCAGAATACTGTAGAAATGCCAGCCATTCAGAAAGAGTCTATTTTATTGAAAACTTAAGCCCAATATGGTTGTTTGACACTGTGTTGACAACAGATATTGCACATTTTCTGTTTTCATGGAATGATAAAGGATTTTGATAAAAGATAGGCTACTTGGAGTTTTTGGTATGTAGTATATATATAAATTATCTTCAGAAGCCTTGTTTGGCTGATCTGGGAGACATAGTACACATCTCTAGCACTCAATGATAGCACATGTAAAGGATACATAATAAACCATGGGAACAAGAGTATATTGAGTAATTTTCCTTTTCTGGTAGGATTCTCATTTCTATTTTTTAACAAAATTATTCTAATACATATCAAACTGGACAACAAGATAGACAATCCCAATTCGTAATGATTACAATGGCAGTCACCTCTCTTTTGAAAGGGAAAGATGCCAGGTCTTCTTTGTCAGAAAGCCCTGACTCCGTTAAATAAATAAAATTCTTGTAATACTGCAGCTTGACTGCTCAATATGTGTCAGTTACTTTTTCAAGGCAAGGTCACAAAGAAAGTAATGTTCTGGTAGTGACAGCTGCTGTGTCAGTTTTCCATAAATTTTCATAACAGCTCTTAGTTAAAGTACAAATACCAAGGCAGCTCAAAGATAGATGTTCCTACCGATTTCATGGTGATAGGTATTTTTCAGTTATTGACATATATTTTGTCAAATCTGTTAACAGTCTTTGCTGTAGTTAGAAAAAGGAATTGAACAGAGACCTGAACTGCAATGGGCCACTTTTTCAGTTCATGCCTGTATCCTTTCCAGCTCCCCCTAGTTGCTGCATATATACACTCAACAGGAAAAGGACAACATACATATCCATATTTACTGTATATAAAAATACAAATCCTCAAATACTCTTTTTAAGGTATCAGAATTAGTCTATGTCATCTTTCCACCATGCACCTTTGTTGGCTTATTGGCTTATTAAACTGACTTCTGGAGTTCAAGCCAATAACATAAAGCAATATCAATTAATTGCCTTTATCCACAAAACCTTCTGTTGGTTCCACAGCTGAGTATTAAACCACTGTTTCTGCAAAGAAGAGAGAACAGTCATTAATTAGCCTTCTTATTTGATTTTTTAAAATATGTTTAAATTTGGTATATTATGAGGAAACCAAGCTGAACAGAGACAGTTAAACATCATTTAATTTTCTGTGTGTCACTGAAGGCACAAAAATATCTGTATTTTCTTTATCTATAGCTTTCTTCTTTAATTTCAGCATCTATCTACACGGAACGATTTATGGGTCTTCCTGTAGAGTCCGATAATCTTGAGAACTACAAGGTGAGAATTCTGTATGTGTTGATCTGAATTTAAATCACACTTCCATGGACAAGTAGAATTGTGAAGAAAGAAAATGACCCACCAAGTCTCGTAGTGACAGTCCTGTAGTAGCTAAGCTACTGCTGTGAAATTCTTATCTCCATAATGAATTGTGGTTTTTTATTTATAAAGCCCAAAAATGCTAAATTGAAATGCTTATTTTCTCACTTGGACAAGTCAGACAGTTCTATCAGTGCAAACCATTAGCCTAGGAAAGAACTCAAGTGAGAGAAAGGCACTAAATATCAAATATGTTTCTGATAGCGTAGAGATGCTTGTGATAGTATAGACAGAGAGCTGCAAGCCAAGCTTGCCCGTGGAGATTCACAGATTCATAGTTTGGAAATAACCTCTTAGATCATAGTCTAACCACTAACCTATCACTGCCAAGTCCACCACTAAACCATGTCCTCAGTGCCACTTCTACACATCTTTTAAATAGCTCCAGGGATGGAGACGCAACCACTTCCCTGGGCAGCCTATTCCGATGCTTGAAAACTCTTTCCATGAAGAAATTTTTTCTCATATCCAGTCTAAACTTCCTCTTGCACAATTTGAGGCCATTTGCTCTTGTCCTGTCACTAGTTGCCCAGGAGAAGAGGCCAACCCCCACCTGGCTACAACCTTCTTTCAGGTAGTCGTAGAGAGCTATAAGGTCCCCCCTAAGCCACCTTTTCTCCAGGCTAAACACCCTCAGCTGTTCCTCATATGACTCACTCTCCAGACCCTTCACCAGTTTCACTGCCCTCCTCTGGACAATCTCCAGAACCTCCATATCTTTCTAGTCATGAGGTGTCCAAAACTGAACACAGGATTTGAGGTGTGGCCTCACCAGTACCGAGTACAGAGGAACAATCAATTCCCTAGTCCTGCTGGCCACACTATTTCTGATACAGGCTAGGATGCCTTTGGCCTTCTTGGCCACCTGGGCACAGGCTGGCTCATGTTCAGCTGCTGTCGACCAGCACCCCAGGGCCTTTTCTGCCAGGCAGCTTTCCAACCATTCTTACCCCCGGCCTGTAGTGCTACATGGGGTTGTTGTGAGCCAAGACCAGGACCTGGCACTTGGCCTGATGCAGCTTGTTCAGATGCCTCTGCAGAGCCTAATATATATATATATATATATGGCTTCTATTGTAATCTCAGATTGGTATGAAGTCACTGCTGTCATTATTTTGTCAGGTCAACTGTTTGATTGTTTTTCTACAAGGTAATGAAAACCTTTTAGCAACGTGAGTGAATGATTTAAATTGAAGTTGCTGAACTATTCACTTTTCCTCTCAACAGAATTCAACTGTGATGGCAAGAGCAAAGAATTTCCAAAACGTGGACTATCTTCTTATCCATGGAACAGCAGATGGTGAGGTTTGCAAATGGCAGAACAAACACAGAGCCATAATCACTTTGTTTGAAAAACATTAAGCATCTATCTGTGCCTTTGATTAGGGTCAGTACTTAGATCTTTGGTAGATTTCCATATGACTTATTATAAGATGCTTATTCATTCTTAGTAATGTCAATTGTATCACTTGATAATTAGTGGACACAACTTAATGCACTATAACTTTATGCTTTGTGGTATTTACACATTTCAACAGCCAATCTCTTTTTTTCCTTTTTTAGATAATGTACATTTTCAGAACTCAGCACAAATTGCAAAAGCTCTGGTTAATGCACAGGTGGATTTCCAGGCTATGGTAAATAATAGACTATTCATTTTGAACAGTGGTTCATAACTTTATCAATAAGCTTATCTGACATTTGGCAATATTTTAATAACCCATTTCAACTGAACATGCTTCAAAATCTGGCAATTGCTAGTGCATTTGTTACTCTTCATAAAAACAATTTCTCAATTTCTTCCCCAAAGGATTTGCCTGCACTTTTTTTTGCCTTGCCCTTTGCATGCTAGCAGGATTTCCCTTTTGTTAAGAATAACTTGGAGGCTTTTAAAATGAGCCAGGGAAAAGAATAAGAATCCAGCCTCCTTATGAATGTTGTTGATAGCTAGTAAAGGAGATGAAAAGAGCTGGCTTCTGGGGCCAAAATCTCACTGGTTCTGATAGATTTTATCTTGAACTGGATTTGCCTGCCACAGGCATGAGGTGAAACAAGCAAAAAGGGTATAAGGTATCCAAAAAGTATATTCAGGATCAGGAAAATAAAAGTTCTCTGAAAAACTTGCTTGGGGTAGCAGGCAAAGAGAGAACCACATAGGCAAGAGGTTACAGGATAGAAAGGAGGAATGAGTAGGTGGAAGGTAGTTCTGACCTACATGCTAACCTCTGCTTCTAAACCTTTTTTCTCAGGGCTAATAACCAAAGTGTTTGCTTGCTATCAAATATACTGGCCTTCTGCTTGAGTCCAGTTTCACAGGGCCATGAACCCCCGGAAAAGGGATCACACATCTCCCTGTACTTGGGGTTTGTAGGCCCTTTTGTGTATTTTCTGCCTCCTTCACTAATATTGAGCAAATCTGGGTTATTCCTTAAGCATCTGGAATACTGTATGGAGTTGTCATCCTGGTTCAGCTACAGTGGAATGGCAGATATTACTGAGAGTTAACATAATTTATATATGTATTTTATTTCCAGTACACTATTCACTATGTTCATGGCTCTGCTGTAATATTTGTATATTACAATATTTGTATATTAGGATATTTTTAATAGAATTCAAAAAAAATTTAACTGAAAGTTTGTTGCTTAGAGCCCAGTATTTATTCCTAAGCAAGACTATGACCCCTATTGCCCAGGCTATGCAGCAGGTTGAGGACTTTTCATCCCTAAGGGCATCTCAAAGCTCTTTTGCCTGGCTTGATACAACTGACTTGTAAGTACTGAGGCAGTAACACTTACTCTTAGGTTACAGAAGATTTAGAAACTTTTTTCATCAAGAATATTAATATATTGGGAACATATGAAAAAACATATGAAAATATATGAAAAAAATTTTCAAGTCCCTCTGTTTTCTTGTGGCATTCACTTTCTCCTTTATGGTAAGAAAATACATTTCTTGTATTGCTTAACTCTGCAGAATTGAAAACATAACATAGGAGGTTTATGTTTTGGTTTTTTGGGTTTTTTTTCAGTGGTATACTGACCAGAACCATGGAATTCCAGGGCTTTCCAGCAAACATCTCTACACACATATGACCCACTTCCTAAAAAAATGTTTTTCTTTGTCTGAATAAGTAGGCTATTCAGAGCATCCTAAGGCATCTGAGACATCTCTGGGAGAATGCAATGGTAACAGTGCCCAAGTTATATAGTTTTCAGGTGAATTGATAGCAGGAACTTTGAAGTTTTAAACTCGATGTTTACATCCACTTTGGATATTACATATTACCAAATGTTATGGAAATACATGTTTTGACACATGTAACACCTGTTTGATAGAATAAATAAAATCAGAATGTAAAATGTCGTGTGCATTTATTGCCAACTTGCTTAAACTTACATTCTGCAGTCCAAAGAAAGGTGTTTTGTTGCAAAGACACACTGTCAGATTAATATGCTTGCATTTGTTAACTATAACTGTAAGATGGAAAAGGACAAAGAAAGCAGTACAAGTACCTAATTAGCATCCTAACAAGAACCAGTTTCTCAAAATTCATTTCCAATTTCTTGAAAAGAATCCAAGCGGGGATAGCTGAAGTTTGGATACTTTTTGAGAGTATTGAATGCTGTGTTCAAATTTTATTCAATTCTTATTTGAAACCTTGATTCTGCAAAACTCTCAGTGTTCAGGTTTAAACATGAAAGCAGGACATTCACGATAACTATTTTATCTCAGTGTTTTTTCTCCCTGTATTCAAAATATGCAAGCCATATTTGCCTGTTTTTAATCTCTAATCATCACCTCAGCATTCAAATTAATCTCAGTGTCATTCATCCCAGACTGAAGGGGAAGGTTCAAAGGATTATGCAAGCTTTCTTTGCTTTGTTTCCAGTGAAACTATTTTAGGGGGTCTTTTAAAAATGATAGAAGCTAATAATGATTGGAATACTTGTATTCTTTTGATTAGTAATTAAATCAGTCCTGTCATAATATAAGAATATTAACCAGATAATTGGCAAGAGATCCATTGTAGATTAGATGATTCCTTTGTCACATGTTTAAAAAATTCTGAGGTAGCCTACTGCATAAGAACCATGGTTTGTCTAACACAGTATCTCATCTCTGCTATTATTGGGAGTACAAAATAACCTGAAAAAGATTGTGTTGCCTTGTGCAAGCTGCTTCCTAACTCTCAGTCAGAGATCAGTTGCTGCTTCTTTGTGGAAAAGCAAGGGGTTTCATTTGACTTTCTTGACAAAAACATGGGGCTTAGCCAAAATAATTAAAATGTGGAAGTGATTTGCTATGTAACAGCTTCCTTCGTTTGTTAATGGCAATATCAAATCTGATTTTCCACACATGAGAACATTCCTTAGATACATCTTTATGTAAATGTAGTTGCCAAGCTGTTTGTAATGGTTAAATTATACTTTGATGGGAACTCTTCAGAAAATACTCAATTAGTTCAGGTTTTTTTGGAAACGCTGCCAATTATGTGACGTTAATGAGCTTTTTGTTGGTAATGTAATTAAAATTCAACTCCTATAATGGCTAAAGGAAAAATTACAGCTCTAAGAAAGTTAACATTAAGCAAATATAACATGAAGTGGGGCTAATTAGATGTTGATTATATGGTCCTATGTGCATTTGCTCCACACAACAGTAGTCTCAGAAATGTGATTATCTTACAAATAAGGAATACAATTCAGTTGAAATTACTGAGATTTAACTCTGAGTTTCTTATATTGATACAGCACAATGGAAATCATCGCAACATTGTGGTGAAAGAGATAAAAGTCTTATCCCAGATGCTTGAAGGCTTAAGATACCTGAATATGTCAGTGGCAACCCAGAGCAATTTTCGAAAGAGCATGGTATCGATCTCACATAAATATCAATATATTAAGTTCTCTTTCAATTTCTGCACCTTTATTTTATTTATTCTTTTGAAAATCCTATAAACTCTGGAAATATGAGCAGATGACTTGGCCCTTTCTGGATACTATGAGTAGTAGAATGATGCAATGTGTTGTTCACACCCGGCCCACAGGTCTGTTGTCCACACCCGGCCCACAGGTCTGTTGTCAGAAGCTTCTAGAAATATTTGGAATAAGGGACATTTCAGGAAAATCTGTGAAATAAAATAACAGAAGGTACCACTTTCTCAAGGTGTGGGTTAGCTGTTTCATTATTAATCTGCCCTTAAGCCTGTTTGTTTGCTAAGGCAATCAGAGTACACATCTTTCAAACTGTCCACAATTTAGCTTTAGGTAACAGTTGTGGGGATAAAAAGTGAAAAGAAAAAAAAAAGTGAATCTTGCTGCTATCATTTTTCCTTTGTCGTTTTTCATGGTAATTTCTTTGCCTTACACAGTGTTCTCACCAAAGAAAGGGAATATGTCTCCAGTAGAGTGACATTTACACTGAGTTGCTGAAATAATGTCTAACCTGAAAGCTTTATGATTGAGCAGCCATGTGTTTTGATGACCTGGGGGAAAACGTCCTAGGATGCTGTGAGTGTCAAAGAAACCCTCTTAAAAACATAATACAACATCAAGTTGCTGCGTGGCCTGTGCTAATGACAGATAATATTGCAGTCAATGATAGAAATGGTGCCGAGCACCTCAAACCTGCCCTTGCAGTATCACGGAATCACAGTATGGTCAGGGTTGGAAGGGAACTCTGGTGGTCTACTTATCCCACTTCCCTGTTGAAGCAGAGCTACCTACATCCGGGAGCCCAGGACTTTGTCCAGATGTCTTTTGAATATCTAAAAGAATAGACACTCCACACAATCTCTCTGGGCCACTGCTGTCAGTGCTTGGTCACTCTCATGGTAAAAAAAGTGTTTCCTTATGTTCAGACAGAACATTCTATATTTCAGTTTGGGCCTGTTGCCTCTTGTTCTGTTACTGGGCATCACTGCAAAAGAGCCTGGCTCAGTCTTCTTTAGACCATCCCTTCAGATATTTATACACAGTTATAAGATTCTCCCAAACCTTTTTTTTTCTCTAGAAAGAGAACTTTTTCTGTTCTGCATGGTTATCTACAAACACAATCCATGTTAAAAGCATTACCACAAACATTCACTGGACCTTCAACAGCTGAAGGTGAAAGGGCTTGTCCTGAGGCATCAAGCTGAAGCTAAGAAAGTATGTTTAAGGGTTAGCCTTATATATGAATAAAAACTATATATAACTATGCTGCAGACATAGAATATGGTGTGTAAGAGCGAACACTGGGACACAATTTGAATTTAAGCTAAGCTCTTATGGCAAGTTTTCTGAGCTGATGAATGAATGTCCTCACAGTTTCGCTGCCCACTTTAAAATGTTTTAGAGGATCTGGTTTTCAAAAAATGCTGAGCATTTTCTGCTCTTCTTTTGTCTTTTGAATAACACTTTCACACTTCAGATACCCAAACACACCACTTCAGACCATGAAACTTAAGTCTTCAAATATCTGTCATATAAACAAGGTATACAAGCCTCTGAAGATTGGACATAGTTTTTCTAAATTAAGTAAACAGGCCCTTGATAAATAGCCACAAATACAGTTGTTTACAAGTCAGTTTCCACTGTAAATCTTCTTTTGCTTTTACAAGATAAAATTAGAGTAGAAAAGTAAAAATTGCTTTATTCTAGGAGCTGAACTGTACATAAATATTAGAAAGCCACTGATTCCACTCCAAACCTGTTTTCATCATCTACGTCATTTGCGCTGTGTGAGCTGTACATAACAATGAACGTGCAATCCTCACACTTCAAATGTGGAGCTACGTGGTTCGCTTCACTTAGGATTACTGCAGCTGCAAAGAAGAAAAGGCCTGAAGAGAAATTTACTAGAAAATCTAGTAAAACTCCAGCCAGGTTCTAGAATATGGTTGGTGTTACACTCATTTTACTCAGACATCAAGTCAAAATCAGACTGCATTCAATACTTTCCAGTTTGCCAGTCAGTTCCAATTACAAGGCACAGCTGTTTAGAACATTTTATAGAGTCATTTGAAGGCTCTATATTTAATCTGAATAATTCATAGTATTTGCTAAGAGCATTTGGTATTACTTTCAATTATGAACATTGTCTTCTCAGAATGTAAAATAACTAGTACATATTTGGCCAGCTCTTCTGCTTGCGCAAATTGATGCAGCTCCATTGACTTGCAATGGAATGATTCCAATTTAGTGAGTAGACAGTGGGCTACAACATGGTTACAATAGCTGTCTATCCTGAGGTACAAACCAGTCAACATCCATGGAGCTATGTCCAGCATGCTATGGACAGGCTTAGAGACCCTAAACTAATCCTCCATGTCAGAAAGCCGTTCTTGCTCTCCAAAGGGTAGCCATGGAGTTGTATATATACAAAGGTACACATTTGGGTATACAACATGTTGTTTCATGTATGCATGTATTTACACAGATATTCTTCCTATATTGGTTGCACTAATTCTCAGAAGGCTCTTTTGGCTGAATATCATCTAGCGAGGACAGGAAAATGAAAGGGGCTGCAGAGCCCAGCCCTCTGAACTCAGGGTTGACAAGGGCAGGGAGAGAATGCTTTCTGTGCAATATAAGAAAGTAAAGGGTATGGGCCTGTAGTCATATACCAAGATACATCCTCCTTCCTTTAGACATGGAATGGATAATAATATAATAACAATAAATATGTAATGAAAAAATACACAGAAAAATTTGAAGGGGTCACTTTTTTGAAAGCATTTGATAGGGATTTTTTACTTTTTACGGTCAAAATTCAGCAAGTTCTTAATTCATTAAAATGTTCAAATCTTGACAATTTGAATTTTAAGTTATTTTTTATTGTACCAGCAGTTAAAGAGTTGAGAGAAACATCCTGGAAAATTATTATGTTCAGAGTGTGCTAGCCAGTTATAACAAACAGATTGATCCTATTTTTCTGGAAAGCCATGTCAACTGGAATTGTCACTGCTAGAGCATCAGGTTCAGTGTGCATCTGCTAAGAATTCTGCTTCTTGTTTTAATTCTTCCATAACTTTCCCTGCAGAGATTTTGTCCAGTGAGTGCCGTACACTGTCCTGAATAACAGACATTACCAGGTACTGAGATGATGGTGCAGGAAACTGATCAACTCCAAATGCAGTGAACCAAAGATACAGATTTTTTAAGGACTCCAACTGGATCTTGAAACATGACACTTTCCTGAAGGCAGGTCACTTTCAGGTTCTGTCTCTTAGTCTGACTCAAAGTTTTGTCTCATATGAGGACTATGATATAGAGGAGAGTGAGGTTGCCCTTGATTTTCGCTAAGAGCTGCCAACTAACTACTGTATTTTAAAACGTGAGAGGAAAAAA